TCAAGTTTCTTCCAGCTTTGAACAATGTAACTTTTCTATCCTTGGATTAGTGCTAACGCAAAGACCATACCAATGTGATTAAAATGCATTTTAGGTAAAATCTGGCTGTCAGTGTACATCCATATAATGTGTACTCTTACATTCAATTAAATAGTCAGTTGAGCCAAAGCAAACTTACAAGGCAGAATTTGATATGTCAAACAAAACTGTCCAACAAACAAGCTGATTTCTGATTGGTCTGACTCACTGCTGTTAGGGTTGGATAGCCAATCAGACACAGTCTTGTAAGTAGCTTCATACTGACTCCAATTCCTCTCTGTCTCTATTCAGTTATTACACACAGTTGAGCAAATGGGTGAAGCTATTGCACCTGAAGGTGATAGATCCCGGGCAGCAAGTACACCAAGACAACAAGGTAGACCACTAAGACCAGCAGATCATGATATTGATATAACAACAAGGCCAACAAAGAGAGACTCTGATATAGAACTCACACCAGAAGACAGCCTAGAAATCAAAAAGGGTAAAGAAGACAAACGAGCAGCTATCGGGTGAGTTTCTCCTCTTCCTAACCATACGTATCATCTTAAAGTGCCTCATAATGCCATAAGGCAGTGTATATTTCAATCAGTTGCCAGGCAACTCCTGTAGATGTGGCAGAAATGAATCAGGTGTATGTGCTATCGCGTTAGAACTCTTTGTGTATACGTCGTACCAATAACTTCATACGTAATGCCATTTCCAAAACTTACTCATAACTTAATCATTAATCATTATTTTGATATGAAAAATTAACAAATAATATAGCTGCATGAGATTTGTCTGATGAGTACTTCAAGATGTGTATGATTCTACAGTGAGAGATAGATTTCTTACATTCACTTGTAACAAGTACACTATAACATCAGTGCCTGCTCCAACGATTCTGCATAAAAATCATAACTTGACACCAATTGGTCATTTTGCAATGCACACACAAAATCCCTGTAACAGTACTCATATCGGTATTTGCGTTTCTAATATATCACTGGTGATGGGTTCACAATATGCAAATTTTCCATTCTGCTACGTTTTGCTTGGTGTTAGACTACCGCATCAAGGCAATGGTGAGCCGAGCGAGCGGGAAATGCGGCATGTAAACGAGAATGCTCTACACATTTCTGGATTGAGTGGAGTCAGTGACATCATCGCTGAGGTCATCGCAGAGGGTGACGTGGATGCTAATGAGTTTGGGATCACGGAACAGCAGAAACTAGCAGCTCAGCAGAAAATACTGGACAGGTTGGTTTCATGATGTTTTGCATATGACTTGAAATGGTTCCCTATCAATACTGCATATTGCTTACTTGGCTTTTCAAATTTATGTAACGATCACTTATCTAATAATAACAAATTTAACATTCTAATTTTTAGCTATTCTACTTGTTTAAAGTTACTCATAATAACTGCAGGATTTTTTGCCCATTATCTTTTGTCCTTGCATTGCTTGTTTTACTAAAATGTTCTGCTTGAAGGAGTACATTTCTGAAAAGATCATGTTGGGTGTCCACTACACCATAGGGAATGTTTGTTTAACAGTTTTTTGTAACTTTAAGAAAGGTGGACAGAATCATACAGGAGTAGTTTTTAGTATATGTTTTTAAAAGCTGGGAATATGAGATCTTATACATGTGTGACTGATAAAGTATAATGTTAGTGTTGCTTATATACTATATATGCACTGTACATACAATGTATGTTAATAATGAATGACATTCATGATTTTACTTATTAACTGTTGTTGAGGAACGATTCATTGATTCACCAAATATACGGAACACTCTCTGCAAAGCTTATATTTGCGGACATCAAGCTTTGATAAAAGCTATTATTCCCAACTACTCTTAATACATGAAACAATTCTTCTGGCATTCCGCTGGGCCTTCTGTGCAGGTGCCTCATTCCTATTTAATTTTCACTTCATCATATCCACTTCCACTTTTCCAATTTTGTCTGTACTGAGCTTTCCAGTTCTAATCTTCTGGTGTCCTACCTCGTCTCTACCTTCTTTCCTTAAATCTAAAATCTAATGACTTCTTCCCTACACTCTATTGACTTCCCACCTGTCTGCTGACACTACACGTCTCCTTGACATCTTATCTTCACTCACTTGTCTTCCCATCCCAACTCTGATAACTTCCTACCCTAACTCTGATGATGACTTCCTATCTGCATTCAGTTGATTTCCATCTTCACTCTGATAACCATTCAAGTTTGGAAACTTTTCACTCAACCACCTTTCCATTGCCAATACTAACATTAAATCTCTCTACTTTTAATGGTTGCAAGTCCTTATTTTCTAGGATTGTTTTTTATCCAATTTTCCCACTTGCACCACAATACTGTATATTCTACTTATCTTTCTGGCAAACAGAAAAGAAGAGAAACTATGGGAATATACAAGACTGAGCAACGATGAGTTGAGAAACATCTTCCATCTCCCAAAACAAGTAGATGATACAGATCCTGGTTTTGCATCTGTGAAGCCAATCAGAAGGTCCATAGAAGACAGAGAAGAGTTACAAAGTTGGATGTCTAAGAGAAAAGAAAAACAGATGGCAGAATATAAACAAGCATTATTGGAACGCCGTCAAGCCGAGAGAGAACCTTACCAGCCACCCAAAGAGGATATATTCAAGGTGAGTATGTTTTCTCAGTCAGATATGTATGTGATGTTTTAGTTTTTGTCAAATACTGATTTGAATGATGTCTTATACTGATATTATTTTCCTATTGATTTTAATCTTTTAATGCAGCATTGTCAGTGGCTGTGGTTACAATCATTTCACTTTTCAAGTTGAACACATTGACATTTTTAGTGTTACATGTTTTATTTTTAAACTTTCAGCCATCATCGAGTTTGAGAGAAATAAAAAAAAATGAAGGGAGTAGAAGGACTGTAAAAAGGTACATGATTTTTTCTATATGTGAAACAATTGTTTGGTTTGAACACATTTCACACCTTCTCATGAATGTTCAATCTGTGTTCTGTTCAGTATGTGGTAGCAGTGTAGAGTTCTAGAAAGAGGTTTACCTAAGGTTGTAAATCAGATGTAATCCTAGAAGATACCAGTTTGAGTTATGAATAAGTGCAATTGTAGAAATATAAAAATAATTTCTTCTCCTTTAAATCATAGAACTACAAAAGACGATGACATCCAAGAGAGAGTGAAGGATGCTTACAAACTGATGGGAGAGATACTGGCTGATAAACCAGACTTGCCCAAGGAACCAATCATTTCTACATCCAGAACACACAAAAGTGCTGTGAGCACAACCACCGGGAAAAAAGACATGGGCAGGGGCGATCCAGAAAAAGTGACAAAGGCTAGAAATTTACTGTATAAAGAGGCTGTAAGAGTTGCAGGGGAAAACAAAGTGAGACAACCCAGGAGGTTTGATGAGCATGACAGAACGCTTGTCAGACCAGATGATTATCTACATTTACGCGACAGCTTTGAAAAGGACAGAGAATATGGACAAATTCCAAAGTCTACTTATCGAATTGATGAAAGTAGACAGGTTAGGTCGTATTTGCCTGAACGCAGCAGAGATCCAGTGCATAGGTCATTTGATAGTGAGTCTACTGGGATCACGTCTGCTTATGCCAGACAACTGGAAAGGCAACTTAGTTTAGATGTTGACAAGTCGGCTACTCTGGAAAGAATTCCAGAGAGTTCAGAAAACAAGGAGAATGAACCAATGAAAGATAAGTTGATTGAAGAAGAATATTATGAGTACAAACCTAAGTCTTACACACAGATAGTGAAAATACAGAGGCCGCATATTACTAGAAAACAGTCACAGAGAACTGTGAAGACGTATTCTGAAAGGTTGGCTGACATGAAGGCATCATCTTCTAGGAAACATGACTCTGATTCTCTGAGAGCAAAACAAAGACTGTATGGTAAGTACTGGTACACTACAAAGTTGAAGTTGTTCTCACTCACTATTTCAAGTTCGATAATAAACTATTTTAATTGCAATTTACTAACCTATTACAAACCACTTCATACTAGTGTTAATCTAGACTGCAAACACTATATTAAATTTTGTATTTATGAGCATTGTTCAAAGTTAAACCACTATGTACTAGCAATAGCCAAAGTTAATAAACAACTTCTTACTTTAGTTACTAACACTATTTGTAACTAGGTGGTAACTTATAGTTAGTGGCGCATGAGTCCCAAGCGACAATAACAACACACGCTAAAAACGCAAAGGCTCATGGGTGGACATTTGTTTGTAAACAATGACGCGCTATGGCCATCTGACGCATGAGCATGTGACGACTCCCTCGCTTTAATGATCAATACCTGTGAATTTGGTGTGTTTTAGGTAGGTGTTCAACCACAATCCACCTCCCTAGCTCCTTCAGTAGAGTGCCTATGAATCCACACAGTTCGTGTATCTGGAAATCATAGGTTTGAATCCAGGGTGTTGCTGCTAAAAAAATATTTCCCATTTTTTAATAGTGAGGGCAAAGTTCTCGCCACTTGGATCATGCGATAACAAGATTGTTCTGAAAAACAATAGTTAAACCTAGTTTCCTAATTAAACAGGCTCAAAACAAGAACAAAAAAACAAAAATAATAAACAGTTATTGTTTGGGACAAAAAAGTGCTTTCCTAGGAAATGCTGAATGAAAACTGTTAAAACAATAGAGATGAGCTAGAATGTAGTATTACTAATGGTTAATCAAAATTACTAACCACTATTTACCATTATTAACCTATTGGTCACTATGTGAAATCATTAACCAGGGCTGCAAAATATTTAATAATCTAAGTTACCAGCCACTTATTACAAAAGTAAAACCACTAAAGACCGAAATTAACCATGTTTGCTAGAAACTGACAACAATGCCTGTGTTCTGTAAACTGGACAATAGTGTGCATAGAATGTTAATTGTCCTACATTGAGCTTTTCACTTTAAATACTACTTTATCATATAATCAACTAATGTGTCTTTATATTAGGTACTAAGAGAATACCTGGTAGTGCCAAAACCGTTGCTGCTGGACCTCGTGTGGTGAAGACGTACACAGAGAGACTAGCAGATATGAGAAAACAAGGGGAGGCACAGACACGGCTGTTAAGACCGCAGAGAAGACCTGCGAAACGACCAAGTGTAAATACAGGTGAGAAGTGAAGAATCTTAATACATGTAATGGTTTCTTGGGCTTATTTTTTCACAAAATTCATCAGTACCGGTAGACAATAGGCAGTGAGGTCCTTTTTGTCAAGAATTAACATTGAAAAAAATACATGCACCCACATTTTGAAAGTCAGTGTGAGGAAAATGATCTTTTCAGGTTTACTTTATCTCACCTGAATTGCTCAGCTACGGGAAAATACCACCATATCAATGCCAAGTATCTGTCATATAGCAAAATTGCAGTTGACTCAGTAAACAAAATATGTGCTGTATTAGAATCATATGTACTTCTATCCATTAACGGACACTTCCAGTTAATCTATTTAATTCTCTTGTGTATTAAAGATAGAACAATTCCTTATAGAGAATACCTTGCGAGTCTGACAATGTGTGATGGTCAACACATTGTTTTTGTTTTGCACTACAATTAGGCCTGCAAAATGATCTAAAAAAACTACCTGCTCTGTCTCACAGCATATTTCACCCAGGGCACCCATGTTAAATATTGAAAGCTCATTTTTGATCTCAATATTTACTGGTACTCGTGGCTGACAGAAGATTGCTTGTCAGAGTATTGAGATAAGCTA